GTAGTAGTAGTAGTAGTAGTAGTAGTAGTAGTAGTAGTAGTAGTAGTAGTAGTAGTAGTAGTAGTAGTAGTAGTGTAGTAGTAGTAGTTGGTAGTAGTGTAGTAGTAGTTAGTAGTTAGTCGTAGTAGTAGTAGTGGTGGTAGTAGTTAGTAGTCGTAGAAGAAAGAAGTAGTAGTAGTTAGGTATCAGCAGTAGTACTTACTAATAATAGTACTTGGTGTAGTAGTTGGTAGTAGTAGTAGTAGGTAGTAGTAGTAGTAGTAGTTGTCAACTAGTAGTAGTCGTAGTTCGTCGTCGTAGTAGTAGTAATTGTAGTTAGTAGTTAGTAGTAGTAGTCAGTAGTAGTAGTAGTAGTAGTGAAGTTAGTTAGTCGTAGTAGTAGTAGTAGGTAATCGTAGTAGTAGTAGTAGTAGTAGTAGTAGTAGTAGTAGTAGTGTAATTAGTGGTAGTTAGCAGTAGAGTAGTTAGGAGTAGTAGTAGTAGCCAGTGTAGTAGTCGTAGTAGTGAGTAGTAGTAGTAGGTCGTTAGGTTAGTAGTAGTAGTACTAGTAGTAGTAGTAGTAGTAGTAGTAGTAGTAGTAGTAGTAGTAGTAGTAGTAGTAGTCGAGTAGTAGTAGCCGTCGTAGTAGTAGTAGTAGTAGTAGTAGTAGTAGTAGTAGTAGTAAAAGTAGTAGTAGTAGTAGTAGTAGTAGTAGTAGTAGTAGTAGTAGTAGTAGTAGTAGTAGTAGTAGTAGTAGTAATAGTACAACATGGGCAGCATAAACCTTCACATCACACCAGACGATGCAAATTCATGCAGGCGACAGCGAAACAACCTCGTATTAACATCTCACTACTACCACTACTACTACTACTACTACTACTACTACTTCTACTACTACTACTACTACTACTACTACTACTACTACTACTACAATTGCTACTACTACTACTACTACTACTACTATTACTACTACTACTACTACTACTACTACTACTACTACTACTACTACTACTACTACTATTTACGAATTGCTATTTCATTATTTTTCTACTACTACGGACGCGACTACTACTACTCTACTACTACTACTACGACTACTACGACTACTTCGACAACAATTAAAAGTACTACTACTACTACTCCGACTACTACTACTACTACTACTACTACTACTACTACTACTACTACTACTACTACTACTACTACTACTAGCTACTACTACCTACTACCTACTACCTACTACCTACTACCTACTACTACCTACTACTACGACTACGACTACTACGACTACTACAACTACTACGACTACTACGACTACTACGATCTACTCACGAAACTACGACCTACTAACGGCCTACTACGACTTACTAGTCGACTACTACTACTACTAGCTACTACTACTTACTACTATACTACTACTACTACTACTACTACTACTACTACTACTATACTACTACTACTACTACTACTGACAACTACTTACTACTACTAACACTACCATACCACTACACTACCACTAACCATACACTGCTACCATTGCTACCACGCTACCACTACTAACACTACTTATAATTACCACTACTACTACTGCTACTGCTACTGCTACTGCTACTGCTACTGCTACTGCTACTGCTACTGCTACTGCTACTGCTACTGCTACTGCTACTGCTACTGCTACTGCTACTGCTACTGCTACTGCTACTGCTGCTGCTGCTGCTGCTACCTGTGGCCCCCGCACCCATTTCGGCACACCCTTCACACGCTTCGTGGCCCCATCAGAAGCTCCACCGAAGGTACGGTTGTGCCCGGCGTCCCCACACCGATATCGGCATACCCCTCAGACGACTCGTGGCCCCATAGGGAGCTCCACCGAAGGTCCCAGTGGTTGTGCACGCATGCGGCCCCCGCACCCAATTCGGCACATCTCTGACACGTTTCGCGGCCCCATAGATTCCCAGGGATTCCTAGTGAGTCGTAGGGAGTCGTAGGGGTTCCTGGGGAGTCGTAGGGAGTCCTATGGATTCCCAGGGAATCCTAGAGACCCATAAGGATTCCGAGGGGTTCTTTCAACATATTCCTATGGATTCCTACGGATTCGTAGGTATTCCTTTGGATTCCTAGGTAGTGAAATCCTTAGGAATCCTTGCAAACCGTAAGGATTTGCAAGGTTTGCCAAGGATTTCACTGAGGGACCCGGACGGGCAAGGCGTTCGGTTTGCGCAAAGAGTCTTCAGGATTCGCAAGGAATTTCTAAGGATTCGTATGGATGCCTAGGGATTCCTATGTCTTCCTAGGGATTTCTCGGAAGTCGTAGGGAGTCGTAGGGATTCCTAGGGAGTCGTAGGGAATCGTGGGGATTCCTCAGAATATCTACTCCCAGGGATCCCCAGGGAGTCGTAGGGATTCCTAGCGATTCCTAGGGGTTCTCAGGGATTCCTTGGGATTCCTAGGGATTCCAAGGGAGTCGTAGGGAGTTGCACGGATATCTAAGGATTCCTACGGATTCCTAGGGAGTCTGAAGGATTTCCATGGATTTCTAAAGATTCCGATGGGCTCCTAGGCATTCCTAGGTATTCCTAGGGATTCCTAGGTAGTGAACTCCTTGGGAATCATTGCAATGCAAATCGTAAGGACTTGCAAGGGTTGTCAAGGATTTCACTAGGGACCCGGACGGGCAAGGTGTTCGGCTTGCGCAAGGAATTTAACAGGATTCGCAAGGGATTCCTCAGGATTCGCGGCCCCAGCGATTCCTAGGGATTCCTAGTGAGTCGTATGGAGTTGTAGGAATCCTAGGGAGTCGTAGGGAGTCGTACGTATTCCTATGGATTCCTAGGGATTCCCAGGGATTCCTAGGGATTCCTAGGCATTCCTATGGATTTCTGGGGATTCCTAGGCATTCCAAGGGGTTCCTTGGGATTCTCACGTATTTCGAGGGATTCCTAGGTAGTGAAATCCTGGGGAATCCTTGTAAGGGGTTCCTAAGGATTTTACGAGGGACCCGGACGAGCAAGGCGTTCGGTTTGCGCAAGGAGTCTGAAGGATTCGCTAGGGATTCGTCAGACTGAGGGGGCTGAACCGAACGGTCATTCACTGTCCCTGGGTGCGTGGCTGAAGTGGAATTCCGCGATGCGGATTCTTGTTGTTGTTGATTGTTGCTTGTTATTGTCGTCGTCCCACCCGCGACCCGCCCCGCGACCCACCCGCGACCCACCCCGCGACCCACCCGCGACCCACCCGCGACCCACCCGCGACCCACCCCGCGACCCGCCCGCGACCCGCCCCGAGACCCCCCCCGCGACCCCGCCCCGAGACCCCCGCGACCACGGCGGACCCCCGCGACGTCCTTGCGACCCATCCCGCGACCCACCCGCGGAACTCCACCCGCGACCCCCCGCGACCCACGCACCATCCCGCGACACCCGGCGACCCACCCGCGACCACCAAAATTTTCGCGCCTGCAGTGGGCTTCTTTTGGTATTCGTTCTGGTGGAGAACAGGGGACACACCCGCGACCCAAAACCGCGCCCGCGAACACCCGCGACCCTAAACCGCGACCCACCCGGACCCCACCCCGCGACCCACCCAAAATTTGTGGCGCCTGCGGCGGGCTTCTTTTGCATTCGTTCCAGGTGGAGTACGTGCGACCCACCCGCGACCCAAACCGCGTTCAGTGTACAAATCAAAATGTTCTGCGCCTGCGGCGGGCTATTTTTGAATAGATTCCAAGTGGAGGTAGAGAGCCCGCGACCCACCCGCGACCCAAACTACGTTCACTGAACAAGCCAAAAATTCGGCGCCTGCGGCGGGCTGTTTTTGCATTCGTTCCGGGTGGCCCACCAGCGATCCCCCCCGCGCTGAACTTGTCAGAGCACGCAAATCGGCGCCTGCGGCGGGCTTGCTCGCATTGGTTTGGGAAAGCGCCTTCGTGCCATTAGGTCGATCCGGCCAGAGGAGGAGGAGGAGGAGGAGGAGGAGGAGGAGGAGGAGGAGGAGGAGGAGGAGGAGGAGGAGGAGGAGGAGGAGGAGGAGGAGGGCGCCATCGACAGGGAAGGTGAGGGCCACGAGGTCCGCCGGCTCGACGCCCGCGTCGCCCGCGCCCGCTCCCTCACTCTTATCCGCAATTGCGGGGTGCTGCGCAGGAATTCGTAGGGATTCCTAGGAATTCCGAAGTAGTAAAATCCTTAAGAATCCTTGCGAATCTTAAGGATTCCCGGGTGGTCCTAAGGATTTCGCTAGGGACCCGGACGCGCAGGGTGTCGGTTTGCGCATGGAGTCTTCACGATCCGCCAGGGATTCTTAGCTATTCGTCTGCATTTCTGTGGATTCTGGTGGATTCCTATGGGTTCCTGGGGAGTCGTAGGGATTCCTAGAGAGTTGTTGCAGGGAGTCCGAAGGATTCTTAGATATCCCTTTTGGTTTCCACGGATTCCTAGGGTTTCGTAAGGATTCCTAGGGGGATCCGTAGGGGTTCCGGGAATTTCCTACGGATTCAGGATGGTGATGTCCTTAGGGATCTTAGCAAATCGCAATGATTTGGATGGGTCTCCTAAGGATTGCTAAGCATTGGGGACCCTGGCGCGCAGGGCGTTCGGGACCCGAACGCGCATTGCGTGCGGCCCGGATGGCCAGGTCGTTGCCTAGTAGTAGTAGTAGTAGTAGTAGTAGTAGTAGTAGTAGTAGTAGTAGTAGTAGTAGTAGTAGTAGTAGTAGTAGTAGTAGTAGTAGAGTAGTAGTAGTAGTAGTCGTAGTAGTAGTAGTAGTAGTAGTGATGGTGGTGGTGGTGGTGGTGGTGGTGGTGGTGGTGGTGGTGGTGGTAGTAGTAGTAGTAGTAG